TTTGCTTATTCGGGGCTTTTTTCCATTCCATACGAAATTGGAAATTGCCTTTTCCATCTCGTTGAAGAATGTAATTTTCAATATTTCTATTAATCTTCTATTTGATCTATCATTTAGTGCCAACAGTATTAGAATCCTCAACTTCAGTTGTGGACTTTTCTTTTCACTCAGTCATGCTAGTGTCTGCTTCAATCATTTTGACTTTCTATTAAGAAGTCTGCATGGAAAAGACGAACATCAGTGTAAGAGAGGCAGAGACCCTCAATGAGACAGACTGACCCCCGTGACTGCAACAGAAGGTGCAGGATGAAGCACGGTTTCAATCTGTGTTCTTAAGGTCACTGTGCATCATAGCTCACTGGGCAGCATCTATGAGCAGGAAGCCTCTCAGTAAAAAGTAGAGAGGTAGGTGAAGACCTGTAAGTACAAAAGGAGACAACATTCTCTTGCGAAGTAAAGTGAAAGTGCAAATAAGGGTCTGGGGTCTATAAAGATGCACAGCTAACAAATGCTGAAGACGTTTGTTCCCATGTTCTGAGAACAGATGTTGGTAATGTGGCTCCCAGTGACACACTGGTGTGTGCATTAAGCATGACAGCTCTCCCTCCGGACCCCTCACCCTTCTTTTACCCTCCAGCCAAATTTCTCCATCTCTCCAAGAAAACCAGGATACTCAAGTCCGTCTCAGCTTACTTTCTCGAGTACCCAAGGATAACACAGGTGCCAGTGAATTTGTTTTCATTATTCCTTTAGCTAGATTGACTGTTTTAGTTTTCTGGGTCCTACTGTTTATATATTTTGAAATGATTTTATTATTTTTGTGAAGGTTCACAAAGAGACTGGCTTTCATTCATTCATGTACATCCTTCCTCCTCCTCCTCCAGGATATGAACTGTCATGCACAGAATTTGCAATTGCCCTTTCACAGTGTTCTTCCTTTCACTCATTACAATACAATGTTCATCAGTTTAAAAAACAAAACCAAACCAACAAAAACCCTCCCATTTGTCATCTGCGAACATAGAGGTCGAACTTTAAGAAGGCAAGAACAAGCATTTGTTCATTTAACTGTGATCACCAGAGACTAAGGAGGTGAGTGGTCCTGAGCGCGGATCATCTGTCTGTGACGGAGCAGATAGCACTGGAATCACTACTTCTGAACACAAAACACTCATTAGCAAACGCACACCACACACAGAATAAAGGCACTGTTTGACTTTAATATGCAAATGTAAGCACCTGCCCCACCACATGACCCCGAGGAAAGCTTTTTGTGTATCAGGACGGCACTTACGGCAAAGTGAATTAATCACAAGTCAACTAACAGGACTGGACCGTATGTTTGTTCATCTTTGGCGCATCTGTTAGGAGGGAAAAATTTTGAAAGGCAACAAACATTTGAAATAACTGTTTTGCACATTCTTTAATCATCTTTACATCAAGATATAAGGCCACAAAAAGGCAAGCTGAAGTTTTAGGTTATGCGGAATAAGTTTTAATAAAGAGTTTACATACAGTACCTTACATATTGAACAGTGTGTTTGCAAATTTAAATAATATCTGAATGTACAGTGGCACATATTCTTAGTAAAGATAAATTCAAGTGTACTGTCGATCAGTTCTAAAACACATTTACACAGACTGCAAGAACTGATACAGAATGAGGCATAAAATATTCAAGTGTTTCATTTCATCACATTGCCTCCTCTTAACAGTCTTTTTCCCCCTTTTAAAAAAAATTTCAAAACCTGTACATACATTTTTAATTTTTAAAAACGGTCTGTTAAAAGGTAACATTTCATGTTAACCACCAATTCTTATAGTCTATCGTAATAAAACTAGATATGTGTAGATATAAATATGTGCGGACTATGTACATACGTACGTGTTTGTTTCAAACAAGCATACACACTTAGGCGGACGTGCGCAGGGCGAGCGCGGGGCCACACACCTCGGGGGCACACACCTTGGGGGCACTGCAGGCGGCAGGACGAGGCTCGGGATCCAGCAGGAGCTAACGCAGCAACCTGGTTGCCTTTGGTTTCAGAAATCTGTCCATTTGTGATCAAAGCTAAAGGTTCTGAGTGTGCGTGTATTTTTTAAAAATAAAATTTATCTTCATAAATGAAGCTTTTCCAGTACTCTACGACTAGCAGTTATAAAAAAAGCCACAGTCCAAGTTATTTTGATATTCTTGTTATTCCTCATCCCAGCTGAGGTTGTTTACATTTTCCTGAAAGCATACACCAACCACACTCAGCGAGAAGCCAGATCCACCATTCACCCAGACAGACTTATTTACACACACACACGTGTGCTATGCATGATGCACACACACAGATGCCATTCTGTGCACTGATTTATGAAATACGCATACACTGTGTATGTGCACTGCATGGACGATATACACACATGCCATGTGTGTGCGCTGTGTGTACGACACACGCATATGCATGTATGTGTTCTGTATGCAGGATGTACCTGTTGCTGATGGCATTATGTAAGACTTGAGGTCGGACCTCCCATAAGATTGAAAATTCTCTTTCCAAGAGTATTATCATTTGGCACATGTGAGCATTCTAAAAGCCATTTTCTTTTTAATGAGCTTAATGACTGCAGTTAAGTTCCAATTATTTGGTGTTTGGTTTTTTTACTATATTCATAATGAAGTAAAACTTCCACAACTGTGTTCCCCAGAAGCGAGGCATCTACTGTCAGTTTCTGATGATAGACATTCATCACCCAAGATGAAGCTCATGGCCTCAGGGGTTTAAGTACCCTGAACCGGGCAGCAGGACCGACTGCAGAGAAGACTTCTCAGCAGCCTCGCAGTGCTCTCCAGTCCAGATGTCTTCTACAGTTTTGTTTTTGGCCAAGTGCTGGTTTATAAAGGCAAATCTTCTTACTAAAAACTATGTTAAGTATACCATCTTTCTACCGCTGCCTCAAAGTCCATGTAAGCAAATCTTGCCACTTTCATCCTCTTAGTATCAATCATCTGCTACGTCACGGATCCTTGGCCTCTAGCATGTTATCATCCGCTGCTTTGCTCATAGTAATTTGTTTAATATTAGCTTTCTTCCTTTCCAAGGGGCCAGTCTACGTGCGTCACAAACCAGTTAAGTGACCATGCATGACTAAACTTTTAAGGACCCGCTGAGCCACCACATGGATAAAAGAGATGATTCCACCCTAGAGCTGTGTTCTCTTCACCGCGTTTTCAGTGCTGTCATACGGAGCACAGAGTTGCTATCTGTTGTACTTTGCCCATGTCAACTAGCAGCTGTTTTATGTGGCGTTTAAGCTGTGGCAGTCTTGCGAGAGGATCTGGGGGTTCCAGCTCCCCTGTGAAATCAAGCCAGCTCTCCAGAACTAAAAGAGAGAAGAGAGTAGTCAGACTCAAAGGAGAACCTGGAGGACAGTCACCAAATAACATGATTACAAGGTTGGGAAGGGGGCAGAGACGGGTCACTTCTGTCTTCAGAAAGCACAGGCATTCCTGAAAATGAGCATCCTGCCCTCGAGAGCGGGAGTCCCTGTCACGAAGAGGGACCTGTGACCTAGTCCTTTCATTTAGCTAGATGAACTCACTTTATGTGGACTGTCTCTTAACCTTGGAACAGGAAACAGGAGTTCCCAGGGCCAGCTCAAGATCTCTATTCATTTAGACTTCAATCACCTCTACTCTTCGGCAAATGGTGTTTAGTTACTGTTATGCTCATTATCTAATCTACAAGTTCTTTTTAACAAAGTAGAGGAGGTAGCAGTTTCTCAATGTCAATTCAGTTCTATATTATCATTACTTATAAAAATATAAGCATGTTAAAATTCTAAGCAGAATGCAATTCATTATGTGCTGCACTTTTATCAATGTATCCTTCAGAAATACGGCTTCCTAACAAGAGATCATCAGGTTGTGTTTCTTTTCTTTAAGACAGTCTATTCAAACCCTTGGAGGAAAGGGAGGTGCCTCTCAGTGGGTCTCTGTCTCTTCCCCTCTTCGCACTTCTGGGAAGCGGGCAGTGAGAATGCTAATTTATTAACTCAGGGAGACTGAGACACACTCTACTTACCTCCACAAAAACAAAAACAAAAACAAAAACAAAAATAAAACCACAAAAAAAGGGAGTGAGAAAGAGTGAAATTAGGAGAAAACAAGGAGGCAGAAAGCAGAAGGATGTGACAGTAGCAGTTTGGTAATCTAAGTTTCTCTATTTCCCCAACTTAAAAAAAAGTATGGAGCTATCCCATCACTCCTGTGATAAAATAATAATACTCCTGTGTGATAAAATAAAAAAATAAAATTATTTTTAAAATTTTACATAAGCTTAAGTGCTGCCTTTAAGTGGGGGAGAATGTTAAGTGTTGTGCTGCCAATCAGAAGGAAAGTGGTTCAAATCCACTAGCTTCTCGGAGGGGAAAACTGAGGCACCCTGCTTCTGTAAAGATTTACAGCCTTGTAAACACAAGGGAGGGTCATGTGTAGTCTGAATCCACGAGAAGCGAAGTTTCTTTTTTTTCACTTCAAGCAGTAGGTGCTTTTCTATTAATTTCACACAAGCACCAACCGAAGTGAAAATCAATATTCAGTTCTCACACTGTGAATATGCTTAAAGTCCCTATGCCGACTTAAAAAATACCTAATGGCATAATTCAGTAGAACAAACAGCATTTCCTTAACACCTCAGTCCAGGTGGTATCTAGTCACTGCATCAGGAACCTACCGACGCCCTGCACTGCCCGCAGGCCACTGTGTCATGCCCAGAGGAAGTACCAGTAAGGTTGATCTATCAGGGTGGAGAGCACGGGCACCGCCCACCGCATTGTTTAAAGCCACATCCCAACACTAACACTGAACACACTGTGTGTCGATGCATTAATCGTTCTCTCTCTCTTAACTTACCATCAACTTCTTTTTCTATGAGGTCCATTCTGCTGGTCACTTCATTCTGCACATTTTCTATGTGTGTGAGGAGGTTCAGCTGCCACTGAAGATGGGATTCTCCTGAGTCTCCACTGCTCTTTTTATCATTATAAACAAACACCGCACTCCCTTCAGCCGGGTTCTTCACCAAAGGACCGGTGAAAAAAACAAAGAGGCAGATAAAATGGAATGTTACAAAGGGACAGCTACAGTAACCCTTCTTCAACACGAAGCTCTGGAAAATCAGAGGTCTAGGATAATTTCACACGTGTGCCACTGATTCCTAGTGCCATGACATCGGAGGGTCCTTGAGAGCAGACAGGTTCATGGCCTCGCTGTGTGACACCAACACAGAGCAGGCGGTGGCCAATAAAACTGGCTAGACAAATGAATTAATGGATGAACACATGGTGGGGCTGGCACAGAGGGACTCTAGATTAAGGGTGGTCAGGGCAACTCAATGATGGAAAGCTGTGGATGACCAGTATTAAGTCTAAATTAACTAATAGCACCCAGGATGATCTAGTGACTATAATGTAGTTGAACCAATGAGGTGAACAAGGAAAAGTAAAAGATTTAAAATCCTCAAAAGTATAAACTGCTTAACACAGAAAATCTGTGAACTTGTTCTTATCACATTTAATTTAATTAAGCTTGTTAATTTGATAAAAGAATTAACTGCAAATGTAATGAAATATAGGCTTCCTCAATTTAGTTAAGTTCTATTGACAATGACTGCTTGATAAGGAGTCCTACAAAGTAAGCACTCATTTTAAAGTGGCACTGCTGAAAATCAATAAAAAAATGGAGGCCCAGCATCGCTAAGATGCTCCAGATGGGAAGGAAATGATCTTCTAAATACTAATACAGCCATGGCCGAAGGTGAAGGGGACGCGCAAAGGCTGAGCTACACTAAAAATGCAGACAAATTATATCAAAAAGAAAAATGTGCTCTTCTCACACATAAAAGCTACCATTTGCAACAAAATGTGACATACTTTTCTCTAGGACATTTAACCATATTATAAAATTGACATTTTTGTTTAGGACATAAATTTATTGAATTACTATGGTTCTGAGTTGGGGGATAATGAAATGATAGATGTTTCTTACAGAGATATTAAAAAAGCCTTTACTGTAGCATAGCTTGTGTACTTAGAAACACATACAAAATCTGGGAATTCAGCCTACTCTCCCTTGTTTTGCTACAGTGTTTTTCCAAGCAAAGACAAATGAACCAATTTTACCTTTTCTGGCCTCCCGTCTTCCTTCACTGAGAACTGGAGGCGGGTTTTGCCTCCCCTGTGAAATTCTTGCTCCCCTTCAAAACTACTGACGTCATCGTCATCAGAGCTCCCAGGGTCTGTGTGGGTCCTGCAGTCCTGGCTGAAGCTGGGGGGCTTCTGGTAGCTGTGTTCACTTGTTATGTACGTGCCCTCTGTCCTGGGAGGCAGGCGAGGAGGCTCATTATGGTTCTGAGCACGATATGTCTTCTCTTCTAGATTCAGTACGCCTTGAACTGTCATTTTTCTCTCTAGCCCCGCAAGGACTTGATCTTGATCTTTTCGCTTCCCAGAACAAGCCCAGAGGTGAAGGTCAGGATGGTGTTTGTTCCTGAAACAGTGTTGGAGAAACAGCAGTTCCAAGTGAAAACTCAATGTCAAGCTCATGCCATAATCAAATGCAGACTGTAAACCCATACACAGTTCAGCTGCTGGTGACTGTGCACGCCCAGGGTGCCAGGTACGTACGGGCTGACTACCCGCCAGCTCCTCACTGAGGACTGCACACCCACCAGGGAACCAGGTTAGGAAGAAGTCAAGGACAAAAAAAGTAAAAGCAACCTGATTCCATCACTGAACTGGACCCCGGATTTGACCTGAAATCTGAATCCTCACAATTTCAGCGACAGAGCAAAAATTAACTCACTTCTGGTGACAGGTCACATCATTATTAAATATCTGTATTATTTTTGTGCTAATTTTTATGCTTTATTATAGTTTTTCTTTCAAGTTTTAAATGATTTGAAAAGGATTTTATGTGAACATGGTTAAGATGGTTTCTCAAATGGTAATCAGAAGGACTGAAGTATGCCCTTCCAGACTTTTATCTATGCACATAAAATTATTTTTTAAATAGAAAAGCATATGTATTTTTTTTATAAAGTGGTACTCGCACTATAGATAGAATTTGTGGTTTTCACATATAACATGTTACAGGCATCACGCCAAGCCAGACATACAGCTCTTCCTTCCTCTATTGTTGACAATAGGCCAGCCGCAGTGCAGTGGACCCCACCAATGCCCCACTGATGAAGGTGTGTGCGCGTGTGCGTAGGTGTGTGTGTGGGGGGGGGGTGTGCACGTGCTTGCACACAGCAGAAATATTTTTGTCACACAAATCTCGACACAAGGACATGCTGGGTAAGACATTACATCTTCTTTTGACAGGTTCCACCCAAGGGAGTGAGGAGCAACTGTACTCATCACATCCCTGTCACCCTCTTAGACTATGTACAAGGTCAAGAGCACAGCAAAGTGTTCTAGAAGTCCTAGTCTTTTTAATGTTATTCAGCATTGACTGTACTCCACACAGCTGAATGCCTGCCTAGTCAATGAGACACAGGTAAACATTTTTCTGAGATGTGTGCTTTTGGCCAAGATCCAGCCGGCAGCAGCAGTGAACATTCCTCATTCCGTATCTTCTGAACCGCACACTACAGTCTTCACTAAACACATGAGCATGGCGTTGCAAAGCTAACTAAGCAGTAATTAAGACTGCAGAAAATAAAACACAAGTCCCTTCTTCAGAGCTGAAGTGAAAAAAGGACATTTGGGATATATATAACTTTCAAAAGACTCAATGATGCTTGTGAACTACTAATTCCCAAATAAAATAAATACCAGGGTCAAATTTTTCTTCAGTATCACAGTATTGCTCCTGAAATGATGCATTTTGTCCTTTGGACCCTTAATAATGTAATACCTAGAAAACACTGACATTTTTTAAACAAAGACACAGTAGAAAGAATGGTGACTATGCTATCCAACTGTTCTGTGTGGACTCCTGCGTGCATGCCACTATCTGCCCACATGACACCTCCCCTTGTCATCTATCCAAAAAGAGAAGATCTAGTTCACAGGCTTATTACAAAGCCTGAAGCAAATACTATATAAAAGTATTAAGTAGTTTCAGAGTTTGAGTTAAGTTCCAAAAACAGTAGATGACAATAACAATTACTATTACTTTTAGAAATATTAACATGAATAATGTACAGCATGTTGTTGTTGTTTGTTTTTGATTGTCACTGAGTCGAGCACAACTCATGGCGACCCTATGAACAAAAAGTCTGAAGCCTGTCTCTAACTATCGTTGTTTCTCAAAGTTCCTAGAGTTTCCAGAGGCATGCTGTTTAGGAAGTGGATGCTAATAATGGCACTGTTAGAACGACTGCATGAAGCACAATGTACTTGAAATTTGTATGCAAACCAATATAAAACAACATTAAATAATAATAATAATAATGGAACAGTTAAAATTCTAAGCAGAATTCTGAATGCAGAGAAACGCGTATTAGGTATCAAAAAGCAAAACCAGGGTTGAAACAGAAAGGGCTAAGTTATCCGTCCCTTGACTCTGAGTATTTGTGGGCTTTTTAGGATGTAATCCATATACAGACTTGGGACAGAGAACAGAAGTGAGTTTGATGCAGTGAACATTTACTGAGCATTTTGGATGCGGTACTTCTCACACCAAGTAGAGGGATACAATGATGGCCAAGGCCCAGGCCCGTCCCTATGAAAACTGCCAGCTAGGAAAGGGGAGACAAACGCAACCAACATCAAGCACATCTAAGAACAGGAAACCAGGACGTGTGGAGTTAACAAGAAGGGTGTCCCAGGTCTAGGTGGCAGGCAGCCATGAAAAGGCATGGGCTACGGCATTCTGCTGTGGACCAACGGCAGAAGGTCACTGGGGTGTGGGCAGCCTGAAGCTATGAAAACATGCGCTTCAACTGGGGACTGGAGGGCTGGCCTAGCTATACTATCAGAAAATTGGCATAAGTCAGGGAAATAAATGGAAGACTTCCAAGCGAGTGCTGAGTTCAGACTTCACGTACTGGTAACAGACAGACACTGTAATAAAGTGAAATGAGAGATGCCCATGTTCATCTTTAGTGAAGTTCATGCTGGAAACAATATAAAGAATGAAGTGCAAGAGCCCAAGACTGAAGTGAAAGAATTAGAAAGACAACTGCCTTTTCCCACGTGAAAGCTGACAGCCTGGGAGAAGACGGTGGCAGCAAGATGGGAGAGTAGGAATGGGCGGGCAATCGCAGTGGGCAGGGGCGGGTGGACACCAAGTCAGCGAGGGAGATAGGCAGGGATGAGAAGGAAGATGGCGGGTAAATTTCTGTTTCAGGTAAATGGTCAAAATTTAGCAAGCACCGTGAAGAGACCCTTACTGCCATTATTCCTGGCTCAGGTGATCTTTTTAAAGCAGTCTAAAGAGGCCCTGGGGGAAAATAGGACACTCTGGGGACATCCTGAGGTTTCATGAGGCTCAGGGGAAAACTGGGTGGGAGACTGCAAAAGCAGAGCGATGGATGGCCTGACCCGTCAGCTGGCACCATGCTTTACAAATCAGGGCCATTAAAAAGCACAGGCACCCTCACCACCCAGCGGTCCTGAAGGACGCGGCACACCGGGCTCCCACAGCAGTAGTGCTGTTCTGTGCCTGTGAGGAGCACTCAGTAGTGGGTGGGCTGAGAGGATGCTGCTGCGGCCTGCTCCAGGACACACACAGGGCCCAGCACACATCAGTCATCTAAAACGCACTGCATCTTTGCTTTGGGGGGGGGGATCAACCTTACTCAAAGTGCTCTTCTCTCTGTTGGCCAAACTACTAATGTGAATCTTCAAAAGAAACCTGATCTTGGTTTTGTAAGATTTCCACGCGGGAGGGCTCGTCACTTACTTCAGGATCCCGATCTTCAGCTGCAAGCCATGCAGCACTTCCGTCACCCCATAAACGTCGGCGAGCAGGTGATGGGTGGACACTATCTTTTTGGCATTGAGATGAGAGTAATTTTCTTTTAAAAAGGATAGTCCACACATTCTGCCATTGTTTAGCCAATCTTTATCACAACGGTACTTGGCACTCCACCTCTGGCCTGCAGATGAAGTTGACAGGAAGTTACTAAGGATCCCACTTCTTCACAGTTCCCTCTAACTTGTACCCTCCTAATGGAACTCAGCAAGTAAGTCAAGGTCAAGAACTAAGACTGGATGTGAAAGAAGGCAAGGACAGGGCACCAGGGAGTGACACTGAGACTTTCCCAGTTCCTGCACTTTCCCAGTCCCGCCCAACATCTATAGGACCACATACCACAGAGGACGTGGCCAGCAGCAAGGGACACAAACATGCACCACAAAGGATGTGGTCGGGGCAGGTGACACCTGCAAAAAGAACTCTGAGAGCACTGCTCACAGTATTCTGTGTCTGTCATCGTCCTCTCGTGAGAAGGACAGGACGGGAGAGAAACCAGAATGAGTGTCCTCTGTTTTACATTGAATGACATGTTTATTTGTGGCCAGGGACCTCCCTCGGTGTCTGATCTCACAGAATCCACTGTTATTCTATGCTCGTATGAATTATAGTCTATTGCTATCAATTCCTTCTATGACTATGTCCCTGCTATACTGTTAAACAGCCCGTCTTTACCAAAGTGATCACCAAATAGCCATGTTAAAAATAGTGATAAATGAACACATTTACAGCTTGTTGTTGTTGTTATGTGCCGTCGAGTCGCTTGTGACTTATAGCAACCTTATGTACAACAGCTCTAAACTCTGTTCTGTCCTATGCCAACTGCACTGTCTCCAACACACCCACCCAATTACCCCAGTCACTGAATCAATCCACCTCATAGAGGGCCTTCCTCTCCTGCGCTGTCCCTCCACCCTCCCAAGCATGACGTCCTTCTCCAAGGACCAGTCCCTCCTTACAACATGTCTAAAGTATGTCAGATGGAGCCTCAGAATCCTTGCCTCCAAGGAGTAGCCTGGTTTAACCCTCTCCGGGATAAACCTGTTTGTTTTCCTAGAAGTGTATGGTATATTCAATACTCATCTCCAGCACCTACATTCAGATACTTCTAAGCAATTCCCCAGCTTCTTACTGTGACCTTTGAGGGGATGGAGCTGGGAAGGACTCACAATCTGTCATCTGAAAATCCCTACTGTCTCTCTCTCTTTTTTTTTTTTTTTAAGAAACAGCTATTCCTGCGTTGGTCACTGAAAGTCCCAAACATATGGAACTCACTACTTGAAGTCCTTCAGTCACAGAGGACCACAGTGAGTGGACAGTGCAGAAGCCGAGAGAAAGACCAAAAGACTCTACCCCACCGTGGAGAGCCATGAGACCCTGTGTGTCCACTGCTAGCTATCTCCTTGCGGATGCAAAGGGCTTGAGTGAGGGGCCTCCCTACACCTCGCCCTGCCTGCCCTTGGGGTCGTGATGCACAACTACCGTCCACATCTGACGGGGCACTCAGGTCCCGAGTACAGACCCACCAAACAGCCATCAGAACCCAACACACACAGGTGCGGTAGTGTGGTTTTCAACCCACAACAATCCCAAATGACAAAGTAGGCCTGCCCGAGGGGTGCACAGGGGCTGCGTCCCTCCTGTAGGATGGGGATGGGTCGAGATGTTCACCCCAGTATTCTTGTGTAATTAATATGGAAAATGAAACTCTCGCTAAGTGAAGCAGCATTAAAAATGATTCACATGGCAGCAGAGCCTTGCCTACAAGGTGGCGTGGTGCTTCCTACAGAACGCCCACGGCAGCACGTCGTCAGCAGAGGGAGGAGCCTTACCAGGGGGGTCTCTGCAAACGTAGCAAATATACTGCTCCGGAATGCTGTCCTCCAGCAGCCCCATGCACACGCTGTGCTGCCAACAAAGGCACTCTTCACACTGCAGGAAACAGGAGAAGTTACCAGGCTGGCCCCCACCACCAACCACTGCCACCAATCAGCACCAACCCACCATCATGAATCAGCACCAATCACCATCAACCACCACTACCAATCACCACCATTCACTACCATGCATAAGCACCAACCACCACCAAGCACCACCACCATTCACCATCACTAACCATCACCACCACCAACCACCGCCAATCACCATCAATCATCAACAACTACCATGCACCACCACCAATCACCATCATCCACCACCAGCAACCACCACCACCAATTACCAGCACCATCCATCATCACTAACCACCACCACCCACTATCTCTAACCACTACCAGTCACCACCAACCCCCATCAATCACTATTACCACTACCATCCACCATCACTGACCACCACCAGCGCCCACACAGGTTCCCGCCCACGGGCACTGGTGGGGCTCCTGTGGCAGCCCCCGTGAAATGGCTCACAACAGCCAGCCAGGTTTTGAAAGAGCTTCATCTTTGAATGAGTACACTATTTCAAGAACTTCCTTTTCTGGCATCTATTAAGACGTGCTTGGGTACATAATTGCAATCATTAAAAAGTGATCAAATAATTCTCCTACATATTTCCCAATGATGTTTAGCTAACCACATTCTTAATATTTTTAAATAGCTTACTGAAATGCAGACTATTTTGATTATTTCTTTTTTAAAAAACAGGCTTGCAGCAGTGCTTGCAGCAGTGACCTCTTCTGGGACTATCCGTGTGGGGACTCAAAGTTCTCTTACTTGAGCAGCGACAGACGCAAGGGCAAAAAGTTCTCCCCTCCCACTGCTGCCCACAGCCAAGCACTCATGCTGCCGCGTCAGAACCAGCTCACAGCTGACCTTCGGGGGCTTTCAAAGGCTGGACTCACGGAGGGAGACTCCATCCTCCCCCTTCCAGTTAGCAGTGAGCTACACACACACTGTGCTCCCTGCCATCACTAATGACTCCAAAGTCCCGTGTCATAGGAAAAAAGGTTACACAACAGCTTGGATATCTTGAAGATATCCCTCGACAGTGAGTCACATTCATGACGGTTAACCTCTTGTAAGGAAGTTTTCCTTTGCTCTAAGAGAACATGGGGCACTTTCTATTTCTGCCTATTAGAGGGTGATGACATGATGTAAACAGGAGCCTTGGTGGCAGAGTTGGTTGCACGCCAATCAAAAGGTCAGTGGTTTGAACCCACCAGCCACTTAGTGTACAGGAGAAAGAAGAGCAGTCTCCTTTCATCATGATTCACAGCCTCGAGGAGCTGGTGGACAGTCACCATGAGGGAGCATACACTTGAAGGCAGTGGCTTTTCGCTGTACTGTGATAAGGTGGGATTGCTGTGATGCTGAATGCTGTGCCACTGGAGTGTCAAATACCATGATGGTCATCTATCGGGGACAGTGTTTGATGGAGCGTCCAGATTAAGACAAGTCTGGAAGCAGGAGTGGCATCCACTTCCTAAACAACATGCTTCTGGAAACTATGAACTTAGAGAAACGACAATAGTTACCTAACAGGGTTCAGGTCTTTAGTTCGCTGCTATCAGTCGTACTCGACAGTACTTAACAACAATATATATATAAAGGAGTTCTGGTGGCAGATTGGTTACTACGGCTTACACTTCAATACGGCTTCTGAAAGCCTCAAACTACACCCCCCTAGTAGAGGAGAAAACCAAGTTAATAAGATGCCAACTCACAATGCCAACACACACGTCAGGGTAGAACTGATGTCCATAGGGTTTTCAATAGCTTTGTGGGGGCAGATCATCATACGTTTCCCCCAAGGAGCTCTGGGTGGACTCAAACCTCCAACCTTCGAGAGTAAGCAGCTGAACTCATTAACCATCTGTGCCACTCAGAGATGCCAGTAAAAGGTGGTCGTGTTGATTCTTAGTTGGCCAAATCCCCAATGAGCAGAACAGTGTTCCACACAGTATGCAGGGATGTGCTTTCGAAAGCACCTCATCAAGCCTATCAAGTCACCTCGGGAAGAGCTTAAGGAACCAGCAATTCATATAGTCCTCCAACCTCAACAGTCTGCATTACCCAGGAAAGGGATACTGGCCCTAACATAGGAAAACGTACTTCATTTGATGAAGAAATTGTCTGATCATTATTGCTGATCTCTTAAATGTGATAGCAAGCTATTAGCCCATAATTTGAATAGCAGAGCTAGTAAAAAGAGAAAAAACTGGAAAGCCAGGCTGTCCCTGTAGAGCCCCTGGACCTGTCACGGTGGTGAGGAGGACAGGTAAAGCCCTACCTGAATCATGAAGCCGTTCTCCTCATCCATCTCACAGATGCACCGCACGATTTCATTAATGGCATCATCTTCGTCCTGAGACTCCTCAAAATTGGCTGAATCAAAGTCCTGACTGTACTCATCTCCACTTAGAAGCAAACTCTCTGTGGATGAGTCATCTAGGCACTCGGTATCTGACAAGTCTAGAATAGACACAAACGTACACTAAGAATTTTCATTTTCATTTTAATGGTATTTTTTAAAAACAAAGGAGTGATGGCAAGAATATAAGGTATCAAGTATTCAGAATGGAGGTGGCCAAATGACAACTGAATCATTGTCCTGGACACAGAAACTGCTGACTTTTGAAGCCTGGTAAACTGTTAGCTGCTTTCCACTCTGAAGCAGATAGCAAATATTACAAAGTACTCTTTCGTTTTGGTTCTCAAAAAGGTTTTGGATATTATTAAAGTGCACAGTTTTCAAGGACATGACCCCTTTGACAAGAATGCTAGCTTGTGCTGTAGAGTTAAAGAGAACTCCAGTAAGGGGGTAAAGGAGCTTGCCTCTGGTCTAAGACCAACTCGACTATCAACGATAGCATGAGATGCACTAACTACCACTGTACCAAACATACAACAGGTACTGCACACACATTTTAAACAGAAGCTATCTGACTGACTTAGCCTAACAGCCAGGTAGGAGCAAAACTGGGTTGAATACCCACACCGTCTGATTCTAAAGTCTGCATTCTTATTGATGTCACTATTATTTCTTAAGTTTAAACTACAAGTTCCCATAGACATTTAAGCATTTTTTGTTTTCTAAAGTTTTTTTAATGTAAACAATTTTTATTTTTTATATAATTCTAAGTAAAAAAAATCCTAGAAACTAAATTTTATGAATACACAAACTCTAATTAAATGCCAGGCATAGGGTCTGTAAATATAGTGTTGAGTGCTGATGCCTCAACTACTTGTCTCAGATTATCGAGAGAAAAAACTTGAGGCTAATATAAGCAACACCACAATGATGGTGCAAGGTAGGGTTATTATGGCCACAGTCGATTAGACAGCACCTAATACCTCAAAGCAAATTTAGTTATGACAATGGAACAAAACGTCAGGGCACATTTTATGAAATAAGATCTTACAACGAGTTGAATAAATAAAGTTGGGAAAACCGAGTCCTCACTAGACAAAGAGTAGAAAATGCTACTAAACACTGCTGTGAGGAAAATCAAAGAAGTGATGCCTCTGAACTTTGGTGCTGATAGACAGACCGAGTACATGCTGGACTCTCGGAAGGACAAAGAACTCTGTCCTGCAGGTGCCCTCTGAAGCAAGGCCGCTGAGATTTCTGTCTCACATGTATGAGAGGTCAATCCCTGAAGGAGAGTATCACATGATGAGAAGTGGTTGGCCAGTCAAAGGACGACCCTCAAGGAGACGGGCAGACACATGCCTGCACCAAGGGCTTAAGGAAAGCAAAGTCCTACAGGTGGTGCAGGAGAGGAAGGGTTTCATTCTGCGGTACACAGGTCGCCAGGCGTTAGCAGACGGGACATCTACCAACGACAAGGGCGATGGAGGAGGCACGATGGCACAAGAGGTCAGGCAGAGCCCGCCAGCTCTGAGAGAGGGGACCAGGTGGTCTGTGTCAGCAGGTCAGAGGGAAGGAGACTCAGCGGGGTGGTCGGCGTCACCAGTGGGTGGGTCGGTGTGTTTGGTGGTCTGCCGCGTGCTCCCAACGTGAGCTCAGTTTGAGAAGGTGGTGTCTGTTTCATCATCCTAGTCTATAGTCAGTCAGAACTACTCTTTTGTTTATTTCTCTTTCTAGAAAGTCAGAATCTACCAGGGAAAGGCCCTGCATTGTTCAGCACTACATGTCTTAGAATGAAGCCGGACACAGGAGGGCTCCAGAATGTTTGTGGAAGAGGTAGGCAGGAAATCAACGTACAGAGAAAAAATGTTCTTTCCAGGTTTAATTAGACCAGATGGAAGCCAGCTGAATTCAAACTAAAAAAAAAAAAAAAAAAATCAAATCATGCTATTTATGTTTCAAATGTTTCATATGACTTAAGGGGCAGGATTTTTTTTTCCTTATCACATCTAAGCTTGCTATTATTATCATGATTTGATGTTTCTGAATGGTTTACTTTTTATTTGTTGAAAGGTAATTTTTTATGAGTATTGTATTTTAGTTGCAAAAATGTGTATATATGATCAAATGAAAATGAATTTGCTTTGAAGCTTTTATTAAAACTATTAAAAACATTTTTAAAGTGCTAATATTTCATAGAAAAACTCATGTTTTATTTTTCCGGGGATCCTCTTAGGACATTTTAAGGAGCTCCAGTGGCTCTGTGAAATTATATATTGGAGTGTTAGCCAACAAACCAGTGGTTCGAACCCACCAGCTGCTTCACGGGACAAAGATGGGCAGTCTCTTCCCATAAAGAGTGACAGCTTTGAACACGTAAAAGAGGGTCACCAGGAGTCAGAATCGACTGACGGCAGTGGGTTTGGTTTGAAGTTAGGACATTTTAGAAAAAGTAAAGTTAGCTGAAATGAGAGATGGTGAGTGAAACATGGAAACATGCAGGTAACAAGGAGGAAATGAATTATGTAAGAAAGCCTTTCGTAGGCAGTGGTGAACCTGCAGAGCAAATTCCCCCATCTCTATAACCTTGCTTAAATCCACAGCCATGGTCTCCTTGGAGACCCCCGGTGCTCCTAGATGACAGCTCTCTGAGAAGCCTCAAGTCTGCCGCAGCACAGGAGGGCAACGAAACCAAAACACATTTCATTTAAAGCTCTGACTCTGCAAGGAATTCATGTGCTTATCACATATTCCTGCAAGGCCAAAATAGCCAAGAATTATGCCATTAGCATGCATTTTTAAAATATTTCAAGAAAATCCAATTTTACTAACTCCCAGTCATCAAGTATTTATTTTGGAGAATTTGGAGACCGAGTAAATGAACCACTGGGTTAAAAGTCACATAAGGGGGGGGTGGGGGGAAGGGCAGGGGAAGCTACATAAGAAAAGCTATGTCTTATACTTACACAGCCACCTGGAACAATGGTTCCAATTAAGTGGCCGTAGAAATACCTGTTTCCTTCCAACAACTAACTTATGAGCTACCATTGCTGCTTCCTAAGAGAAAACTACTGAAACGTGGTTCCCACACCATCACCCAGAAGCCTGTAAAAACAAAGGATAGGTCCTTGAATCTGTAATATCACCACCCCTCCAAGCAATTTTGATATGCACTCTCATTTGGGGCCTAACACCTCTCATCATTTTTCTGCTCACTCAGTACCTGATCACAGGAGAGGCAAGGGAACGACAAGGCAGAATGGAGGACTCTGGGAAGGATCTGAGATTAACCCCAATGCTCTCTCCAGGGACATAGTCACTTGTCTGATATAAAGTACCCAGCATTCAACTGTGCTCATATCACTGATCAGCCACTTTCAGGTTTTTTGCTAAAAATGAACTTGTTATCAGAAATTCAAATTTTACTTCTTAGACTGTGATAAATTATCTGGTAGAAAGAGTATTTTGTTTGGAGTAGAGAAAAACTTTGGTTTGTGTTAACAGTTCTGACACCACCCCTTAAAGATCCTTGAGCTACAAGTTTCTGCTAGCATGTGGATAAAAAGATCTAGTCTATAAATGAGGCTTAACTGTGAGAGTGTGTGTAAACACCAACACGCCTCTCAGAGGGCCTGCATTGCAGCAGACAGCAGAATATCAGTTTACCATCTCTCCATAGATGGCAAACAGTCTACTTTAAATTGAAAAGCAACACAAATTACTAATGTGGAGATTTCCTTATCAGCTCCCGTAACTTTTTAAGTCATGAGCCTGGCCCAGACAGGCCCTCAGTAAAGTGTGACTTATCCTAGGTCCCACACTTTAGATTATTAAGTCTTTGATGAAGCATCACAGGGTTATACATACTTTCCCCGCTAAGGTCAACAGACAAGATGGCCCTCGGGTACTGATAGGCTGTGTTCTTCTCGGCAAACACGCTGCGCAGAGCCAGGGAGCTCCCAGAAGATCGAGTCAGTGGAGAGGAGCACCTTTCTAGAAACTCTAAGGAACTGTCTTCATAGTCTGAATAGTCTGAAACACAAAATACAAGAAGAAACATCAGTTGTGTCTCAGGTGACCAGATCATCACAATACTGAAGTGGCAGTTTCGCCAGAAACATTAAAGAACAAGTCGCACCTCCCTCCTCATCAACAGTCAGCACTGTGGAGCCCCAACTGAGTTTGTCAAGAATGCCTGGCTTTCCATCAACAAACGAATGGCTAGAGAAGCTGTGGTATATTCGCACAATGGAATACTATGCTGCATTAAAAAACAAGGAACTCATGCAATATTATTCAAAATGGTTGACTCTGGAGAACATTATGCTGAGTGAAATATCCCAGTCACAAAAGGACAAATATTACATGATGCCACTGTTGTAGAATGGGACTGTCCTTGGGGTTGGGGAGAGACTGAGTAAGATGGGTTCAATAATGTATACTGCATTGAAACAGAGGAGGGAGAAAACTGTTTAAAAGAGATATATAACTAGGTATTTCTGTCATCACAGGAGACTAGAGCGAGGGCTACATGGTGGAGGGGACCTGGGGGAGGGTTTGTAAAACAATGAAAGAATCTTTTCTTTTACTTTTCCATAATTTTTGGACTCATGTACTTATAACTTGTTAGTCAAATTTGTGTCTTCTAGGTTGCAACACCCCCATGATACATCTTCAAGGATATGAACATGTACGGCCAAGCACAATCAACAAGAGTGCATCTAAATCCCAAAATCAATCTCCATAATAGTCTATGTGTTTCCTACTGCCAAAGGGGCCCTTTAGAGTAGTGAGAGAAGATCTTCACCCTGAAACCCACAGCGTCCCTTTTCAGCAGGAAGTAGCTAAGAGAATACGCCATCCCCTTTTCCTTATGACTCAGGGTGAAGTCTCTCTCAGGGAGAAGTGATAGGAAATGGCAAAGGACACACTGACAAAGAAGATTAATCAGAACTGGCCTTGACAAGCACTGTGGCATTTGGACAAGAACAAACTGGGAGGAGGGTAGAGAGAATAGTGCAACAAGGAATGAATGGAAACCCAAAATCTCTGTAAATGTTTATGAAAATTAATAAAATATAGAAAAAAAAAAAGAATGCCTGGCTTTGCACCCTCAGACCATTCCGCTGGCAGTAATCACCAATCGCCTTCTAACACCAGTCAACTGGTGGGTTCTCTAGTCCAACAGACACAAAATGAACTACTTTATTATTCCCTCTCCATTGTAATTACAACTTTATCTAAGGCAAGGATTTAGGGTTTTAGTTCCTAACCCTAGCTCTTTCCCCCGTATTTTCACTGGTTTGCATACAATCACTCACACATGCTGTGCTTCCTTCCTGTATGCTGTGCTTTATACATTCTTATGCACTTTATTTTCTATAATTACTACTTACCTATGTCTATTCTCACCCTGTCTTTTCAAGTATGAAGCAAGATTTGTAAAGTTAAACTTAACTGTTGTTTGTAATGTGTACAGGCCTCTTAAGACATCGCTCTCTCACTGCCGCTAAGGTGGACCCACGTCCTGGCTGACTCTCCCCTGGTCTGAAGCTGTAAATGTGGGAGATGCCCCATCTTCCTCCTGTGGAGCCGCTGGTGGCTCTGAGCCACGAGGAGGGGCTGCCTTTGGGTGAGCCATGCACCTCCCCAAGGACTCCCACCAGCGCTCACCAACACACCTAGCATTCCTAGTACTACAATGATACTCTCACCAATAAATGTTTCAGCAACGAAATCTAGGAGTGACATTAACTTTTTTCTGTAAATAATAAATCTAAGTTCTGCTCTGTTTCGCTTGGGAGGATTCAGCCAGCTATCTGGGAAGGGAGAGGCCCTTCCCAACACACAGGACATTGGAAGTCCTGGGCACACTGCTGGCACTAGGGAAGGCTTGGGAGCAGGACAGAGAGTACATGGCATGTTTACAAATGACGACGGAGGAAGGACAGTCAGAGAGGGACATAAAAAGCAGGCTAGAGTCAGCTAAAGACTTCCATTTCTAAGTAATATCCTAAATTCAATAAAAGCCATTATTGTTTGAGAAGCTCATTCTAGCTATGGACCAGACGACGGAGTACAGGGGGCACACCCAAGAGTGAGGAAACCAGGGGAACAACTGCCCAAGCAAGAGGTGATGGGGGCTGGGATAGCTATTTAAAGGTAGATGCAATGATGTTATTGCAAAATGGGTGCGATCAGTTGAGAGGGTGGATCAGGGCAGATTTCCAGACTCCGCTTGATGAAAGTGAGGGTATGTGATGCAAGTGAATAAAAGGCAGTGGGAAGAGAGAAGAGGGCTTCTTCTAGAGGAGAAATCTTACACATTGTCTACATGAATCTAGAAACGCACAATATATAAGGATAAAGAACTCCAGGCCTTTATGAACATGAGACAGGAATTTCTGCATTTTATTAGAGGCAGAAGAGCAGAGGGGTTCATTCAGGGAGGTATGGTAGTGTGCTGAATGAAGATGAGAAAGGTCCCACCTGATGGCTTCTACATCCTCAGCTGAGTGCTAGGAACAGGATTTGACCGACAAACTCGGGTTTGGAAGCTGACCTCTTAAATACTACGTGTTGTATGTCATGTCCCAAATAAATGTAAAAGTAGAAGAATCTGACTGAAAAAGAATTATAACAATATCAACTTGTTGCTAAAAATCACACACAGCCTGATGCTTAATCTTTCCATATTGTGTCAGCAAACGAACCAAGTTTCTTCAAACTGGACAGTCTATCTCCTCCAATCTGCTCTGCTGCCGTTGTGGGCCATCAAGTCAGAACTGACCCACAGCTGGCCCCCCTGCAGGGTTTCAGTGCCAGAAATCACATGGGAGGAGATGGCTCATCCTGCTTCCACGGAGCAGCTGTTAGATCTGAATTACACAGCTTTGGCAGTTTCTTACCCCTAGGCCACCCAAACTCCCAAAACCCCGTTAGAGATTAAGAATAAAAATGTTTACTGCTGTATTAAAACACTCAAATCAAATGTAATCTCCTATACAGAGTTTCTCTTTTGGTTGTATGAGCTTCTCAAAATTTTAAATTGAGAGTTATGTATAACTCTTACCACACTTAATGTGCCGTAAGTTCCTGGAGATATTTATCTACCTCCATTATCATACATCCTAATTACACTCCCTGTAGGAGGACTCTGGTTTTGCTACACAATGCTAGCATGATCGTTGTATTCTGAGCTCTAGTTCTTTTTAATCTCTGTTCATACTATTTCCTCATTCCAACAAGCACACATTAGTCAAAGAAACAAGGTGACCAGCTCACCTACCATGAGGTTTTTTAATACTCAGAAAGTGAACAAAATGTCAGGCAATTTTAAGACCTTGTAAATTAATTCTAACAGTATGTTTTAATCAATTCTTACGTGGAAAAATTAGAAATTGTAAAAAACTGGGTAGCTAATTTACAATTCTTTGTGACTTCATTAAAATCACCAGTGTAAGAGTTGGTAAGCCAATAAAGACAAATAAAAAACGTGGCCAATGGAAAGACGCACACTCAGACACACTACCTGGGCGTCACAGGATACCATGGGGGCTGAGAATCCTTATACGTGATATACACACCTAACACATATGCAGTGTTGTATACATATGTATACAATAACATGACATAGTATACAGCATGACATGCAAAACCCTATTGAATGGTAAACAAAGAATTCTTTTAAAAATTTCCTCCCAATAGGAATTAAGATTGAAAAATATTACAGATGATCTTTTAACAATGTGAGGGTTAAGGATGCCAACCAATAGCACAGTAAAAAAATTCTTAAATCCCTTTTGACTTCCCAAACCCTTTACTAATGGCCTGCCTTAGTGATAGCACCACGTGATAACACTGGATTAAACTTCATGATAGTTGATAAAGGGTGGTGCAGTTCACAGGGTGGCATGCAAACTCAAAGTGGTGCTTCTCTGGGCCTTCCACCTACCAGAGGCTCTGTGGGAGAAAGATGGCAATCCAAGTGACTTACATTTTCTCAACACCCCCTGAAGGGTCAGCTGGGGTGCACCCTCACTCAGTGGCAATGAGAGTGAGTATTATGCACTGAATCCACAAAGAAGCTTCCTTTTCAATAGGAGACAGAAGGGTATTTTGCACATGTGACCGGCTTTTCTTCCCGTGACAGCTCCACAACGTCCTCCTCTCGGTTTACAGTGGCCCTAACGCTAGAGCCCCTTCATTTAGCTTGCAGCGGGCAGCCGTGCAGCTGCAGCCCTGACGGTAGTGCGTCGGGGAGACAACCTTCTCTGGTACTGCCGTGACGCGGCTTCCTGGGAGAACAGCCAGCATCACTAGGGCACTCTGCGTGGGGCCCTGCTGGCACTCGAGGTTAACATTACTGCAAGGATCACCAGTTTTTACCGCTTTACACAACTTACATGGAGATGATTAGCATGAAGGCTGCATAGTGGAGAGGACTGGGGGGGGGGGCGGACTGCATAACAATGAAAGAGTTTTTCTTTTCAAGGAGAACAGTGAGTTGGGGTGGGGGCAGGGAGAAAAGCGCAACAATGAATTAATGGAAACCCTAAGTCTCTCTAAACTTTCTTTAAAATTAATTTAAGAAAAGAAATCAAATCCCGGCTGGAAGTAAGTCTGTGCAGTTCAAACACAGGCAGCTCAGTGGTCAAGTGGGTACTAGAACCCTCACCAGGTTAGAACGTGCACTCTTTAAAACTGCAATCCCTTTAAGATGTTTGAAGTTATTTTAAGTCCCATATCTTCACTGTAGAAATACTCTTCTAATTTAATCACCTGGGGCAAAGTGTCACTCAGGATGAACGTAAATACTGTCACTTGCAAGATGAGCAAATCCTCCTCAAATGTAGTAATTAATTGCCCAGACGTTGGTGATCACCTGACTGCACACCTGCTGTTTAAACACGGGACCAGCTCCACACATCATCACTACTGGGACAGTATTACCCACAAAGTTAAGATTTTACTATACAACTCTGACCTTAAGATGCAAAAAAATTAGTTCTTTTTTATTAAAAGAATAAGCA